AACATCATGCAGGACAGTTGAAAAAGCATCAGAATTGTATACTGTATATACACCCCCCCAACCTTCAAAGGATAAGCAGTATAGATATGGACATATGTTTGTACACAACAAACACCTACCTGAGGTCTCCAGCATGTTTCCTCATATGGACATTGAGATAGTGCTTCCATTTAGTGACGTATCCACATTCAGCGCACATGAAGTTTTTGTCGTCCGAGTGAGTGAGCATATGTCTAGAGAGGTAGGATTCATCTCGGCATCTGAAATCACACAGGCTACACTTGTGGGGCTTGTCACCTTTAAGAGAGAAGATAAGAAAGAAATTGGGACATGTAAAGTAGTAGAAGTACACAGAGGTACACAGAAGTAGTTCAGCAACAAATGTAATTGGAAACTATGAGGTGAAAGTCTGATGAGAAAACTTTAAGAATATTAAAACTCCTCCATCCTCACCACTGTGCATCAGCATGTGTCTCTTCAAGCCGCGTTTATGTGAGGTCACGTAGCTGCACTGAGGACAATGATGGATCTTCTCGTTGGCGTGCAAAAGTCCAATGTGCTGCTCAAACTCCACGGGGTTAAACGTGACGAAGGAGCAGAAGTCACAGCAGAGCTCGTCAATCCCTGCGTGACCGAGCCGCTGGTGCTGGAGGAAAAGAGTTTTATTCGAGGAAGAGAAATCACACTGCGAGCAGTGGTAGGCAATGTGTGTCCGATAATGAATCTCCATGTCCATCTCTGTTTGAAAAATGGCACCACAGGCATAATGGCGACATTCTACTGCTTTGACCCCATGGGCCTCAACAGTGTGTCTAAGAAGTTCTTTGCGCAAAGAACTCTGGAAGGAACAGGACTCTTGGAAGCAGGCCACTGGCTTGCTGGCTGTTTGAATGTTGTGCGTCTTCATGTGAGCCTTGAGTGACCTGCTTTGACGAAAGCTTTGACCACAGGTGGGACAGGGATAACTTTGACTCTTTACGCCATCTTGTGCCTCATCAGTGTGCATGCTGGCGAGGTGCCGACGGATTGCGTTACGCTCCACGGCAGAATATTCACACAGGTGGCAACGGTGAACCTTTTCCCCCGCCTCACGGAGCCTGTGTATGCGTAGCTTGCTCTTGCTGGTGAAGTGGCGCTTGCAGGTGGGACACTGGAGACTGGGGTCAGGGAAGTGTAAATTAAGGTGTTCCTGCAGGTGGGACCGCATCTTGAAGCAGCGACGACATGTGGGGCAGGTGTGGGTGCGATAGATGTGCTCTGCACCTTCTGCTACATACTCTGACAGACAAAACACAAGACACAAATTCTAAATAAACTGACAATACACAATTCATCTTAAACTATCAACATTTTAGCAGTCATTAGCTTAGCTTGTGCAGCAGCATTCTGGACTAACTGTAGACAATTACACTGGATTTGTGGAGTTTTAGTTGTTTGCCATCCAGTGTTTTATTTCAACGAGGCACTTTTAGAGAGTTTCAATGTTTGACTGGTCATCAGGACTGATTGGAATGTAGAGTTGTGTCTCATCAGCAAAATATTCTTGTATGTTTTAATATCACTGGTATAACTTGAAATGGTTTCACTTCTTTTCACACATGCAAAATGAGAGATAAACACAATAATCCTCCAAGCAGACTGGTGCACATACCTTTGGCTTTCAGTGGTGTTGTGTCCACTGCGGGATGACTTTCTCTTTCCACTGCCTCTCTCACTTTTTTGTCACTGGGCCCATCCCTCTCAGGCTGCTCCTTATTCCCATTTCCTGGTAAAGATGGGTTGGATTTCAGTTTTCTTTTTGGCCTGTCAGACACCTGAGGCCGATGGCCTCCAGAACAGCATACGGTTTTGGGCGCAATCTCTTTGCCTATGAACATAATATTGTTTATTGTTAAATCTGATCTGCAGTAGAGACATAGGTTTGTGGGAAATTACATTCTCTGTGCAGTGTCTGTTTACCTTGGGCACAAGTTGGGATCTGGTTGTGCTCCAAGAGATGGTCGCTCAGCTCTTTTGCATTTTCAGAGACAAACTGACACTGGAAGCAGCTGAAGGGCATGTGGCTGGACAAGTGTCTCTCCATCTCACTCTGTGTGGGCAGGGACACTTTGCAGGGCGGGAAGGGGCAAGGAATGAGAGTGAGGCCGTGTGTGGATGTCAAGTGGGCTTTATATTCCTGGTGGTCTGTGCAGCTGAACTGGCATCCAGGCTCAGTGCAGACAAACAGGCCTTCAGGGTTGTGCCCACTGTGAGTGATTTTGAAGTGACGTTTCAGAGCTCGCTGTGTGGAAAAGGCCTCCGTGCACTGAGCGCATTTGTAGCTGCCCAGCTGTCCTATTCTGGATGGAGCGGTTGGACTTTTCAAACAGGCGTGAGAGACGAAAACATCACTGTCTGAGAAACTCTGTCCACATTTTTCACACCAATGCGGTTCCACTGTCTCCCTCATGTCTGGACAAAAAAGCAAACACAGCACAGCATTTAGTTTCAATGGAAAAACATGTCACAAGAGATATTTGTATTTTTATTATAGGCTCATGTTTCCGCCACTATTTTTAGATAGATGGATAGAAATAACAAAACGAAATAAATAAAACTTAATATAAAATATATAAACGAGCCAATGTATATGCTGATAATCATATATATATATATATATATATATATATTTATACACATTGCACATTTGCATACACATGTATATGTACACACATACATATACATACATGCACACACATGCCTATGAAAAGATCTTCAATAAAATAATAAATGAACCTAACACAATGGTCCTCCTCAGTGTCCATCATACCCAATAAAAACAACTGAATCCAATTTTTTTGTCTAACATTCTATGAACACAGTATTTATATTTCAGTACAAGTTACAGCTGTAATACCCGTTTGCTTTGTTTATTTAGCTCCAAATTAAAAACACAACAGTCTTGTAAATACTGAGAAAGCTGCCATATAATAACGACACGATCATGTAATAATACACAACACAAACACATGTCCCTGTGTTTTACTCACACTATCGGACCTACTGCCCGGGTTTCTGCAGAGCTGTGTATCTGTGAAACACACATCAACATGGACCACTTCAACAATACGGCGGCCACATCCGGCTCGTAAACATAGATTCATTTCTGCTGAATGTTAGAATACGAAGAAACACGTAGTTTAAATGAGAATATTTATATGTTAATAAAGCTGTAATAGCATCATTGAGCTAGCTTCTTCTGCGACTCCTCTTCTTCCTCTTCTTTCAGGTTTTGCGGAAGTTGGCCGTGGCTGCCCCCTTCTGTTCATTCTCCCTCATTGTCCCTTCGTGTGACACCGTCTGTCCAGATCCAGAGACTGTTTTTACAAATGTATTTATCATTTCCTCCCATGAACTTTGCAGCCTGATCACACAGACCCACTGGTGTTTCAATGTAATGTGACAGCATGCTTATTATTTCTCATTTTGCATTGAGCGCAGGTTAGTCTCCATGTTATTGTTTCACATCCCCCTGTTTTTGCCATGGGTCACTTATTGTTTTCCACACCTTTTCTCTGAGGATTCAATATTGATCTTGAACCACTGCTTTTTCCGACTTGCTCCTTCTCCCATTTTATCTGCTCCCTCAGTTTCCAGGAAACCTGAGAGTTGCTGGACCTCACACAGAAGTGAAATTTCCCCTCCTCTTATTATTCTTGAGTTAGATTTCATGTCGCAGAGCCTGATAACTTGGGGCTGTGCCTGTGTCAAAGCCTGCAAGGGCCAACACAGAATCCCTCTGTGTTGTATTTCATTAGGAAAGTTTAGACAATGACTGGTATTTGATGTTGAATTAGAACCCTTAGGTGGATGATTTGTAGGTAATACTGAAACTTTACATACAGACTGTGGGGGTCATCCTGAACAAGAATGAGGTGAAAAGTCTTTGTCACCTCTTGAGGAGTTTTTTTAAATATTAAATATGAGCAGGTCATGAGTGCTATAATGAAAATCAACCACATTTCCCTTTAATTTTCTCAAAATGTATTAAAATCTTCTTAAACTTGTTATGCAGATAATGGAGGTCACCATAAACAAGAGTGAAGTGAAATATCTGTGTCACCTCTTAAAGATGAAAAAACCCCTGAATATTTCATATAGACCTATATAGTGAAAATTTGCCAAATTTCCCTTTAATTTTCACAAAGTTTACACAGTAAAACTTTTTGAAACCTAACATACAGACAGTGGGGTCACCATGAATAAGACTAAGGTGTATTTTGTTTTAATTAATATTTAATGGGAGCATGTTATGGATCCCATAGTGAGAAAATAGCCACATTTCCCCTTAATTTTCTCAAAATTTCTAGGTCAAAACTGAATCTTGACATACAGACACTGAGGGTCACCATGAACAAGAGTGAGGTGAAATATTCTTTGTTACATCTTTAAAAAATAGTGTGCTATAATTTAAAACTCGCCAACTTTCCTTTTCTTTCTGCGAAAATCTCTACTGTAAAATCTCTTGTGACGTGCAGACAATCTGTCACATTAAGGATTTAATAAGAGCAAGTTATGAATGCCATGGAGAAGTAGCCGATCCGTTTACATTTCTATCAGAAACATAATATTCCATTTCCTTATATGTGTTAATATCTTGTCTGTAAACCACAATCTTTTTACTTATTTAATCAAACGTCCTCGATAAATGTCATTAAACTTTCAATGTTTGTCTTTTATTCCGCTGCGAGCACCTGTACCGTAATGCAATGATTAGACGCACATCAATTTTCAAAGTGCGCCTGGCGTTACCGTGTTTTCACCATATACTCTATATTAAGGGTTTTCACAAACGACGGACCACATGGCCGCAGTTAAATCTCCACTGTTGCTTCCTTTCTGTAAAATCCACACATCATGTTATTATATACTTTAAATAAAAGACACAATGCACCTGCTTGACTTTAGCTTGTCAGCTAAAACCTGTCACAATGTGGGGTGAGGAACGAATGTGCAGAGGCCAGGCGAGCCGTCGGAGTGAGAACAATGAAACACAGGAAGTGCTGCTAGAGGTCGCTGCTTGAATTGAACACACTGAAATCCACACAGTGCACACATGGGGCTGTAGGAGGCTGAGCCCCGCTGTCTGCTGGGAAACTGTGGAGACCACCAGTGTCTCACCATGGCCATATGAGATGAAGGAGAAGACATGTAGGTCAGTACTGTGTCATGATTATAAAGTAACAGCAGCTGCCATTAGTGTGCACAACTAAGCTACAGGTCCACAGACACTGTGTATGTCCAACCTGCCTGCCTTGTCTCTTTTCCTCTGCAGGTCTGTGCTGCCACACGGCGTCATCACATCTGTATAAAGTCTGATCCCAGCATCATGCCTCTGTCGGACTTCCTGGACGGCCTGAAGGACAACCCATACTTCGGGGCAGGCTTTGGACTGGTTGGGGTTGGCACAGCATTGGCAGTGGCCAGGAAAGGTGCCCAGGTGGGGATGGTCTTCTTCCGCAGGAACTACATGATCACTCTGGAGGTCCCCAGCAGGGACAAGAGCTACCACTGGCTGCTGAGCTGGATCACCAAGCACGCCAGGCACACCCAGCACCTGAGCGTGCAGACCTCTTACCTGGCACATGAAAGCGGACGGGTGCACACGCAGTTTGACTTTCACCCAAGCCCCGGAAACCACATCATCTGGTGAGAGTTAAGGCATACTTGATTACATGTAGGTCTGCAGGGTATCAATACGCTTTACACACTTGTTTTTAAAGCGTTGCATCAGGTTTGAGGTGTACGACATGAGATTATAGAGATAACACTGTAACGTGAGGGTTCAGTGTGGGGTAGTTGGATCACTCGTGTAAAGCAACAAGATGGAAACAGATCACTTTCTGACCTTAATGTTCTTTACACTGGTCATCTACAACACGCACTTCCTGCTTCTCACTCTCTTGTGACTCAACTAACCTATAAGAAGCCAGAAAGGCCTCAGACTAAAGGTAAGGTAAAGGTGAAAGCACTACAGAGGCAGGATCAACACATCGATACTCCTGTTCTTATGAAATATTTAAATTATGAATGTATAAACATAAATATGTTAATTACTGTAAACATTATAAACACATTTTTAGTAAATTTACATTAGAATATATGAACTTGACCTTCGTTTCAACCTTAACATATCTACATTTATGAATCAGTTAACTTATAGCATGTTGTGGTATTGTCCACCATTGTGCTCTGCAGGTATGGGAGGAAGTGGATCAGGGTGGAGAGGACCAGAGAGAAGCAGATGGTGGATCTGAACACTGGAACCCCATGGGAGTCTGTCACCTTCACTGCTTTAGGCAGAGACAGACAAATCTTCTTTAATATCCTACAAGAAGGTAAAAAGCTACAGTGTGTACCTAGAGATTCTTGTCATATGCACTAGTGTTGTGACCTTTATCCACTTATTGGCAATTCAGTGCAGCTGTAAATCATGTTTTGTAGCAAGAGAACTGGCCCTGAAGCAGGAGGAGGGGCGGACAGTGATGTACACAGCCATGGGTGCTGAGTGGAGACCCTTTGGATTTCCACGGCGACGCAGGCCCCTGAGCTCCGTGGTCCTGGAGGCTGGTGTGGCTGAAAAGCTCGTAGACGATGTGAAGGACTTCATTGGAAACCCCAAGTGGTATACAGACAGAGGTACAATATACCAGGGCTCAAACGTATTTGTTCGGTATATATGAAAGTTGTCTTCCAGTGATTTATATTGATATTATCTAAATATATATTTTATGTTTTACTGTCATGATCACTTCTATTGTCAGATGTAATGGTTTTGGCCTTGTCGGTGTCTGTGCACGTGCTACAGCATGTGTACAATTTTGTTGTTGATCAGCTTTGTAAAGCACAATCCTCTGTCTTGGTCACCTGAACTATTTTTATCTTTGCAGGCATCCCCTACAGAAGAGGATATCTGCTGTATGGACCCCCAGGATGTGGAAAAAGTAGCTTTATGTGAGTGTGCTAGTACTTGAAGTATTTGCTGTAGATGGACTAAGTCAAGTAAACCCTATTGTGTATGTTCTCATCATGCGTCTGTGAATCTTTCTGCTTCAGCACGGCACTGGCTGGTGAGCTGGGCTACAGCATCTGTCTGATGAGTCTGAGTGACCGAACCCTGTCTGACGACCGTCTCAACCACCTCCTGAGCGTTGCACCGCAGCAAAGCATCATACTGTTGGAGGATGTGGACGCAGCCTTCGTCAGTCGAGACACGCTTACCCCAGAGAGTAAGTAGAGCTGGGGGAAACTTGGTTTAGGGTTAGTTGTTAGAATCTTTCATCTTAATGAATCTTAATTATTTTTCACTTTTATCAATGTATTGAGAAATATATTTTTAATAATATGATTTTTCATTCATCCACAAGTTAAAATTGGCAGCGGCTGTTCTTAGTGTTTCATGTTACCTTTGTCTTTGCCTCACAGACCCTCTGGCCTATCAGGGAATGGGAAGACTGACCTTCAGTGGTCTGCTCAACTCTCTGGATGGAGTGGCTTCCTCTGAGGCCAGAATAGTTTTTATGACCACCAATTTCATTGACAGGTAAGCCTGGATGGGTATTTGTAAACAAAGTGCTGATAGTAAACGTCATTGGCCATCACTGAACTCTGCAGTTCTCCTCAGCTCTACAAAGCTCTTTTGCCTATTCTTTGAATTTGATATAGTTTTCCATCCTGCACACACTTTCCCCCTGAGTCTTGGTTCCACTCACAGCAGTCAGCTGTCACTGTCTGCCACAATGACCCTGTTCAAACCTTTAATTTGGGTGTTCTGATCACAAGTTAACAGCCTCAAAGGGATATTTCTCAGATAAATGAAAATTCACTCATTATCAAAGCCCCGACAGTCATATCCAACTCGAAATAAGGTCATTTACACCGTGTATTCAGCCTAAATGTCCATCTGGAAGTGCTTAAGCTAGCGGATGTAGCCACACGAACGCACACCCCACGCGTGCCTTTGGGCGAGAGTGTGTGTTTCCAGTGTCTGTGCCCGGTGTGCCCTGTATGCAAAACACCGACAAGTGTACAATCCCGTTCAGTTCTTTATGAAACCAGTGGGTCAGACGATGTAAAACCAGCTCTTCAATGTGACCAAGGACACCTTTGTGTTCACATTACTGAAAGAATGTGGCCACATGTGTTCCAGATCACCTCCGAATGTGGTTTGAGTGATCAGAGCTCAAATTCATCCTCAATGTGTCATGTGTGTTCAAACTATCCAAATGTGATTGGATCACCTGAGACAGATGTTAATACTGAGTCAGGGCCGTTGCCAGCGACCATCTCTCTCTCTGGCCAAAGTAGATAGTTAGTTCTTGGGCTGCCCCAAGTGTACAAAAATCAAGTAACTTCAAAATATTAAAACAATTTTAAAGTTTAAAACAACAACTGAACAACAGAATTATAGTTATACTATATAACTGGTTTATTCACAGCCTATCTATATGACTTTGACATTTGTTTTTTGTCAGTGATGTTGATTGAGAGCTCTCTGCTCACAGGTTGGACGCAGCGCTTATCCGACCCGGCCGCGTGGATCTGAAGCAGTACATCGGCCACTGCACACACTGGCAGCTCACCCAGATGTTCCGGCGGTTCTACCCAGGAGAGCCTGCTTCTGAAGGAGAGCGGTTTGCAGAGCGCGCGTTAGCTGCCCACTCTGAGATCAGTGCTGCTCAGGTGCAAGGACACTTTCTGCTGCACAAAATGGACTCTGCAGGATCTATAGACAATGTTGGCCAAATCAAAGGATGATGAGAAGAGGATGTTTGGAGTTGAATAAAGAGAAATATGAGAAACATAAATAGTTTTCACCATTTGTTTCCAGTTGAAAGTATATTAGTATTATTATTATTATTAAAACAAATGTGCTATGATACCATAGACTACATGATACCAATCTAAAAGCCAATTGACTATCAGCTGACAACAAATCAGCCTCTGGGGGTAAAGACCAATATTTTAGGTTTTTGGTGTAAAGACTGGATATTTGGGCCAAGACTTTGTCTTCTGTTCACTGTTTACAGTCCAAGAATTCAACATTTCACATTACAAAACATAAACAGCTATGCTTTTTGTAGGTGTTTTAGGTCCTGTTGTGGAAAATCTGCTGATCAGTGCCCATTCATCAGTGAAGGAAGCGTTCAGGAGCCCTTTGACGTCTTATGCTGAAATATTTATTGACGCTTGGCCAAGGAGAAAATCAGAATTCATCCACACAACATCTGTGCATGATGCTATCTCATATTCTGAAGTCTGCTTTCCTGCAGTCACACTTTAAACCCCAACAGATCATTTAATCTACGGGTCTGCTTGTGCCTAAACAATTAAATGTATTTTCTAGTTATGGAGACAGTATTGCGAAGTCTCATATCTGTGATGTCTAGGGAGTGAAGCCTTTGACCTTCGCCAAGCTCTCGCACTTCTCAAACACAGCAGCCTGTTGCACTCTGCCCCAGAGAGGACAAAAGACAGTGTCTATGAAAAATCCATGACAGGTCCAGATGACATTTTGGTTAATCTCTACCAACAACTATTGGCATCTTAAAGGTCCAGTGTGTAAGATTTAGGTGAAAGGTATTTATTGGCAGAAATTGAATGTGAAATAGTGATGTTTTCACTGGTGTGTATGAATTGTTGTTTTCTCTACCGTAGAATTGTCGCTTTATATTTAAATACTTAATATTTGCATGGAGGGGGGGGGGGGGTCCTCTCTGTGGAGGCCACAATGTTTTTTTCTGTCATCCTAACTGGACAAACTAAAACCTTTTGAGTTTTCATGAYAACTGAAGTTCACCACAGGTTCTCTTTCATGTTGGGAAGGGGAGGGTGAGATGCAAAGTATTTGTCTGCAACATGAAATGTCACCTCTAGATGTCCCTATATTCTACACACTGAACCTTTAATGCAGATAAATTAAAGAGCACATACTTGACATTACAGTGTTTACTTCTCCACCAACCGTTTACCTATAGGGAACCAAACATGGTTGGTCAAACTAGAAGAAGAAACCAGATGGCTTCTGGCCCCAAAGTCCCTAAAATTCAGTCTCTGAGTATTCACATCTATTTATAGAGATGAATATGATACTAAATAGATTTCCATCATATACGATGCTGTGCAGAAACTAGACCAGAAAGTCAGACTAATTAGACCAGAAACTCACAAGTAAAAGTACTAGTCTTCAAGATGACAGAAATTTTACACATTTCATTCAAAAAGCCCTAAAGCACAACATCTATGATCTCTACGCTCTTCACATAGTAAGGTTGAGACCTTTCACAAATGGTGACTGTGGAGAGAAGAAAAATAAAACCCCAATAGAGGCAGACTCAAATGGAGCAGAGACCAATTGATTTTCACACTTATAATAAAACCACAAGTATAATTTATTTAAAATTGTGCTTTCAGTTATGCAATGAAGAGAAAGCCAAAGATAACCAATGTGGTTTGATGTTCTTCCCAGGGAGAGAAACAGTTCCAGAATACAGAGATGTACTGTGTATTTGAATCTAATATTGTTTAAATAATATAAGGTTTAAAAGTCTCTATTGTCTCTTTTTGTCATCAAGAACATCGACATCATAGTTAAGACATTCATTTTTAAAAAATGTATATGTAGTACATGGAAAAGCACCACTGCAAAAAGTATTGTTACAATGCATTTGAGCAATATTTGTCTGGATTATGTAGTTTTCCAAGTGTTTTAGATACCCAGCACACTAAACAGGACTCTCTCATTTATTTTGCATTTCATATATATGAGTGGAATGACCTTTTACCCTTCCAGTTCCTGGTAGATCCTTGAGAGCTGGGGTGGAAGGGTTAATCGTTCAGCGAGACATGACTCCTCCCTGCTTAGCTACTCTGGTCTGGGCCCATTGTTTATACTATTTTTCCATCATCATGGCTTCAGGTCTGTTCCGATGCTTAACAAAAAGGAATGGCGGCTGGCTGCTGCCATGCCCCATCGGCACGGTGCGGTTCCGCTCCAGGTTGAGAAGCACCTCATCTGCCCCGGGGGTCCTCTCCACCTTCCAGGACAAACCTCGGACTGTGAAGGACCTGCCACATGTCAGCTTCTTGGAGATGATCTACAGAATAGCGTTCCAGGGTTTCTACAACCGTGTGCATGAGTTACAGGTATGCCAGCTGCAGCACATTGCTTGGCATGGTGTCCTGAGGTCACATATTTATATATTCACCAGGCTTCTATCACAGTGATGCATCCTTGTTTTAATCTGCATCCAGTAGTGTACACTGGATGTTTTAATGCATAGCAGAAATCCCTGTTTTGACTCTGCTGTGCTTATTTCATTTGCCCCAGTGTTGATGCATACGAGAAAGTTTCAGGCCTCCTGTTGAATTACCTTGGTTCCCATGGTAACCCCCATATAAATAGTGCTAATCTCCGCTCACTCTCACAGAGGAGAGGATTGTTTCCCCTGCTTTCTGTTGCCATCAGTCATGCCTAAATAATTACACACTCACATGCTCTGCTCATTCTCTATACATTTTCCTCGTCACAAGTTGTGTTCACATCAGTAGCATTTCTATTTTTTTTCTTCTCACCTAATGATTTCTCAGACTGCTTGTGTATCTGCTAATTCATCTCTCTTGCCATTAGATCTATGAGAAGCAGCGCTATGGGCCCATATACAGAGACGGACTGAAGGCGGTATCCGTGAACACGCCAAAGCTGCTGGAGGAAGTCATGAGGAATGATGACAAGTTCCCATGTCGAGGAGACATGTCGCTGTGGAGAGACTATCGGGACATGAGAGGATTTGGCTACGGGCCTTTCACGGTGTAAGATAGAAAAATGGATGGAATGATGGTGACCTGTTGGTGATTGACGTTTATAATCCAGACATTTAATATTACCATGTTGTCTCATGCCAGCTGTCAACTTTCCAACCCCAATATTTTAATGGAATTATTAAACCTAGAGTAATTTAAATGTTGAATCAGGTCTGGGGACAAATCGTTTTAGGGGTGGTGTGGAACACGTTTGGTGAGATGAATTTGATTTGGATTTGGATGAAATCTAAATTATTTGATCTTATGAAAAAAAGTCAATGTTTGCATTACAAATGGGTCTAATTGGATTTCTAAGCTGCAGTGTCCATAATTGATGGCTTCTGTTCCCAGGGAGGGTGAGCAGTGGCACAACCTGAGGGCGATGCTGAACAAGCGAATGCTGCACCCAAAGGACTCTGCACAGTATGGTGGTGCTATCAATGCTGTGGTTACAGACTTCATCAAGAGGATCTACTTTCTGCGCCAGAGCAGCCCAACAGGAGATCTGGTGACCAACGTGGCCAATGAGCTCTATCAGTTCTCACTAGAGGGTTTGTAGAAAATCTGAAAGACAATAAAAGCTGCACACTCATGTTGGGATAATTCTACCTGAACGTGGCACCATTAAATGATGTGCCTTTGGGCATTCAATAACTTTGACTGTCAGAAAAATATTGAATTTTAATATTGTTGGCAAAATTCAATTCATTATGAAAATAACTCTGGCGTTGCTTCCTTTTGAAATGTTTTAGCAGTCTGCTTCAGGCAGGCCATGCTTGGAGGTCGAAAGAGCTTGGTTATGCAGAATGTCTCCCTGGCTGGGTGAGCATGAGAGGTGCACCTTTCTTCCAGGAGAAGTGATAAGGAAGAGAGAGAGAGAGACACCCACTTCTCCTCCAGGAGAACTGAGTCAGAGGGGGAACTGGGGTTTTATTGGCCTGGTGACCTCACAGGCACACAGTGACAATAGTAGCCGGAAGTTGGGTCCAGGGGCAGGTTTCACACCTAGGTGAGAAGATAAAGGACTCTGGGAGACTGAGTTGTCTTCATAACAAAGGAGACATGTGGTGGCAGGCTTTGGCTCCACACGCAGCCCCATCTATTGTTCACCAACAGTAGGTCCCATCACTCAGGCTCTACTAAGTGCACTTGTTCAAATTAATGGTACAATTGCTCAAATCAAATAATAATAATAATAATGATAATAATAATAATAATAACTGTATTTGTATAGCACTTATCTAAACAAAGTTACAAAGTACTTCACAAGAACAATAATAAAATCCATGGCTAGAAGAAGAATAAATTATGGTGTCATCAAGTGTTTCAGCCTATTAATCACAATACCGTTGAGAGAGGCTAATGATAAATCTGACTGGCTACTGGCTTGTATGGCAGTGCTATGAAAGCCATGTGGTCCGCTCAGTAGATCAGACGTCATTACCTCTCTGTGCCATTTTTATTCTATTTATTTATTTGTTTTTAAACTAAATTGAACTAAATACCTACTCTCATAGGTTGCAGAGTCAGAAGCTATCATATTAAACCCAACAGTTCCCATAATAAGCAGCCCTTTGGCGACTGTGAACGGGAAAAACTCCCTCTTTAACTGGGAGAAACCTCTGGTAGAACCAGACTCAGTGTGGGCGGCCATCTGCCTCGACCGGTTGGGGTGAGCCGAGAAAAATGGGGAAAAAGGAGGTGGGTGACAACGAGGGAGTAGAATAGAGAGAGAGATGGGGTGGTGGGGTCAGGGGAGGGGAGAGGGACCTCAAGAACATATACATGAACTCTATAAGTCTCATTATTGGTATTGATGGTTGTTATCTGGTATGAAGACAGGTTTTGATCATTTTGATGTTTTTCTGATCTTCCTTACTCACATTGAAGTATTATTATCCTTACACAAGTATTGCATGTTTTATTATAACTTGGTGATGCCTATTTTTGACTCTTAATGCTGTAATATTACAAATATCCCCATTGTGGGACTAATAAAGTATTACATGTATCTTATCTCATCTTATTTCTTAACCATCTCCACTCAGGTATTGCTTCCATTCTGTTTGAGACCAGACTTGGGAGTCTGGAAAAGGAAATCCCTGCAGGTACACAAGACTTCATCAACGCCATAGGTGAGATGTTCACAAACAGCATGCCTGCAATGATGACACCCAAGTGGAGCCGCAATCTGCTGCCCTACTGGAAACGCTACATCGCCGGCTGGGATGGTATCTTCACTTTTGGTGAGTTGAACAAGACAAGCGCAGCAGAGGTGTTGAATAAAGTTGACTTCCTGTTTAGATGTTAATTTGGTGTGTCATTACTCAAAGTTCAGTGATGTTTATTTGGGGAAATACACTGTTTCGTTTATTTTTTGACTCAAAAAATTCTTGTGAAGAATTAGATGAAAAACATGATACCACTGTCAAAGCTGAAGAATATCAAACTACAGAACCAGTGCTAGCCAACTGATACTGTACATTTGGTACCAATTGTCGGACTATAAAAATCTCTGATATCAATGTATTGACTAATATTCATTTCATTTATACTTTTCATTTTCCTAACTTTGTTAAATGGCCTTGGGTTCCTTTAAATGTGCAACATAAACCCATGTTATACACTATCATTTGCATTACTACTGTACTATTTGACATACTAAACTACAAATGTAAAGGAGCTAGTATCTCAATTTGGTACAAAGTATAATTTGTCTTTGTTTGAGATTAATCGTATTTCTGTTTTCCCCCATTTCATAGCCTCATTGTACAATGATGACAGTGGCATCTCATCTAACTTTTTGCAAGAAAGCGAATGACATATTTCCCAAAATATAAAATTATTTAGCTTTTATTTAACTTTAAAACACAGAAGAAAATGTTTGAGGCATTAATTTTGTCTGTACATGGATGCTAAATTGAAACACATTTCTGCACTTATACTAGCTAAAGTGCTGATTGATAAGAAGATGGAGGACATTCAGCGGCGTGTGGACAACAGGCAGGATGTGGAGGGAGAATATCTCACGTACCTCCTCTCTAACACTGAGATGAGCCTGAAGGACGTGTACGGCAGCATCACTGAGCTCCTCTTAGCAGGAGTGGACACGGTAAATATGATACATCAAGTGTTAGGGCCATGTTGAAGAAAAAAAAACTGAATGATGTTGTGATATTACCAGAATGAAGTCATAATTTTAGGGAAATAAAGTCGTAACTTTAGGCTATTTGTCATTTTACAGGGAGAATATTGGAAGATCAGGCTGTTCCCTGTGTTCAAATAATAAATAATTTAAGGACTACTTAATATTTTGGCTCATCAGCATCACATTATCATAAGTAAAAAAAAAAGTTTTAATCTCATAAAATAACACAATTATTCTTGTAAAATTACACTTCCTTATCCTTGTAATGGTACTATTTTATTTTCTTAAAATGTAGACTTTATTCACATAATATTATGAGAATAAATACGGCCCTAATACTTGTATTAATATTTGTACTTTGTGACTTTGAACAAAATTGTAGAAGAATACAAAAAAGCTTTTAGCTTTTATGACCCACTCTGAACACATCTTATGCTATTGCTGGTTTATTTAAGATGTCACAATGTACATCCACAGTCACCATTCTGAGATGTCACCGCTCATTTTCTGCAGCATAAACATTTTAGTTATGAGAAGATGCATAGCTCTCTCTGCCTGTCTTCTTATTGGCATCTTTTTGTTTTTTAAGACGTCCAATACCCTCACTTGGACTTTGCACCTGCTGTCCCGGGAACCCCAGAGCCAGGACAGACTGTATAAAGAAGTGTCCAACTTCGTACCGGCAGACCAGACCCCCTCCGCTGCTGAGGTCACTCGGATGCCATATTTAAGGGCTGTCATCAAGGAAGCACTGAGGTAGAACTGGTTAGAGAGGATAAGGTGTTGTGATGGGGTTCATTAGCCAGAGTGATGTAAAAAGATGGAAATACATGGTATTGGAAGGGGATCTAGATGAGTAGTCTTTGTTTTCTTGATAAGATTTTACATATTTGTCCAGAGGAAACAAAAAAATGAATCTTTCTCGTTTGCAGGATGTACCCTGTGGTTCCTATAAATGGGAGGATCACTTCAGAAAAGAGCGTTGCTATTGGTGGATATCAATTTTCAAAGAAAGTGGGTTGTTTTTTGAACCATTATCAGACATTTTGTATTAGTTTTGTGAGCACTTTTATTATAACTTAAAGAAAAAAGTCGCCTTTTAGAATAGTAGTATAAGTTTATAATGTGTATAATATCAGAATTTCATGATATCTCCACTATGGCTTCTCCAGACTGCTTTCACGCTTTGTCACTACGCCATCAGTCACGATGAAGACACGTTCCCAGAGCCATTCACGTTTAGGCCAGAGAGATGGCTCCGTGATGGCCGCCAGATGCCACACCCCTTCGGCTCCATTCCCTTTGGCTTCGGAGTGAGAGGCTGCGTCGGTCGCCGGATTGCTGAGCTTGAGATGTACATGGTTGTTTTTCAGGTAAGTGACAAGTGGGGAAAAAAAAAACTTTTAAAAACATCTCCTGAAAACACAGGATCAATAGAGTGCCTGAAAACGTCGCTTCAGTTCTCTTTCAATATTATTGACTACATAAACTACATGAAAGTGAAACAAACATCCAGGTATTAATTAGTAATTCATAACTATAAGAAGATCTGCTTCACTAGGGTTGTACAGATGTGTTTAATTGACCAAATAACCCATCAAGTGTCATCAGATTCTGGTTCAAATGTTGCTACACAGAAACCCAATGGAAAATATCCCATTGCTCAAAGCAATAAGTTGATTGTGATACGAAAGACCTCTGTGTATGTGAATGTTTTTGCTGTCAGTATTGATCCCCGTCCATACTGACATCCTCGAAAATCCATATCACATGACCGCTCTGATACATTGGGCACATACCAGAGTAACCAGGAAGGCATGCACATGCCGACGTACACAGATTGTTTGAATAGCTCATCTCTTACACATGTAAGCAGTTGTATCATTGTAAAATGCAGAATTTAACTGCACAACAGTGTAGATGAAGCCTATGTGTGAGCAACATAAAAGTGTTTTGTAGTATTTTCACCAATAATGACACATTAAACTGGTTTGTCTTCTTTTTGGCCACTGGAGGGCAGCAGAAGAAGCATCACATAAAACCAACTTGTAAAATTGTTGTAAATGTATTTGAAGTAAATTATTTATTTATACATCCAGCACACGCTGTTATAGTCTCTGACGTCAACTCCAATTCAACTTCAGCAAGTCTTCAGAAAACCTTTTTTCCTGTGTTCATCAGCTGGTTGCTTACTTTGTTTGTGGCCAGTTAAATTAAGGAATGAGCTGATGCATGCAAAATGCTCAGCAGAACTGTGGAGAACAATAATTATTTTACAATAAGAAAATTAAACACAGAAATACAGATAAGTGCAACTTTCAGGTTTAGACAGGTTTTAGGATGTCAACATAGCCTCGTGGCATTATCTTCTCATTCTATCAGGTCTATAATAAAGTGACTGCAGTAACTCCATATTTCTTTTTGTCCCTCACAGCTAATCAGGCTTTTCGAAATCAAGCCAGACCCAACGATGGGAGAGTTGAAATGCATCAGCCGCACTGTCCTGGTTCCAGATCAGCAAGTGAACCTGCACTTTGTGTCCAGACGACGTGAAAACACAACTTGATTTGTGTTTGGTTTTAAAGCAAATGTTGTGTCTGAGTGTTTCTATCTGTTTTTAAGAATGTCTGACTCTAGCAGCAGGTTTGCAAGCTTAACCCTATCAAATATAAAAATAAAACACATGTTTATCTATATACATATACAGAGATACCGACTAATGCTTCTGAATGCTAGCAGTATCATAAACATACATCAATATCATACACCAGCAAGATGCATAGTTTTTTTTATTAAATATAAATGATGCTGTGGTTACATGGACATTTTATTTTTTGTTTTCTTATAAAATGGTCTCCTTCCTTCAAAAAAATGATACTGAAGGTCATGTCTGAGCTTCCACTTTCATGCAAATAAAGTCTTTGGTTATTTTCCATTTGCTCACTTAATTTAAAATAAAACATAGAAGCTGAATTGTATTATTTAATAATTATTCAGAACACAAGGAGATGTGATGATTCATTGTGTGTGTGTGATATAGAAGTGAATCCAGCCCAGCCTCATTTCGATTCCCTCTATAACAAATACATTGTTCATTTTCAGTTCTTATTGATGCCCTTAAGGAACTGACATTTGGCTATTTTCGTGCGGTCGCAAGAAGGTCTGCTGTGTCTCCCACAATCTCAAGAGCATGGAGGAGATATCAGGAGACCGGCGTTACACAAGGAGAGATGGACAGGGCCGTAGAAGAGCATCAACTCAGCAGGAGGACGGTATCTGCTCCTTTTTGTGAGGAGGAACAGGAGGAGCACAGACAGAGTCCTACAAAATGACCTCCAGCAGGTTACTGGTGTGCATGTTTCTGACCAAACTGTGACAAACAGACTCCATGAAGGTGACATGAGGGCCCAACGTCCTCTAGTGGGACCTGTGCTCACAGCCCAGCACCATGCAGCTGGATTGGCATTTGCCAGGAGAACACCAACAGAATTGACAGGTCCACCATTGACTTCCTGTTCTCTTCACAGATGAGAGCAGTTTCACTCTGAGCACATGTGACAGATGTGAAAGTCTGGAGAAGCTGTGGTAAACGTTAAGCTGCCTGTAACAACATGATGGTCTGGGGAGGTACTGTATATCCTTGGAGGGTCGCACAGACCTGCATGTCATAGCCAACAGTCTCCTGAACACTGTTAGGTACCGGGATGAAATCCTGGATTCCTCCTGGTGCAGGACAATGCTTGGCCTCATGTGGCCAGAGTGTGTAGGCAGTTCCTGGATGACAAAGGCATTGATGCTATTGACTGGCCTTTTACGTTCCCCTGACATAAATCAAATTGATTGGCTTGGAGTCACGGATCTGTCACAGGAGAAAAATGTGTAAACTTACAATAGTTGTATCACTTTTAAGTTGAAGTGTTGTGCAGGTTATCTTATTTGTAATTAAAAAACCGGTTCTATCTAATGTGTCATGGCTCCACATGGTGAGGAACTGGAGGCTGGAGTGTGCTGATAAGAGGCTGAATGAATGCAACAGGAGATGACACCATGGGTATGAATGAATGTGACTCAATGAAAACTGAATGAAAAGATCCCAGATCAGAACTCCTGACCTCCAGATGACAAGGATCACACTAGAGTTTGTAAAGAAGAAAAAAGAAATAACATGGCCAGGTACAGTATGTCTACTGACTCCAATCTAATAGAACACCTATCCCAAAGCTTTAGTTAGATGCAACAGCAACACTTATTTGTAAAGAATTAATTAGTCTCATTCTTCTCAGACTGACTGAAAACTGATGCAATTGCATTCAACTGGAACACTTACTCATTATTTTAGTGATATTGACGGAGGGGCGTACCCAGTTTTGTTATAAACTGTACACAGCACACAACATAAGATTGTCTTATGGGCTGCTGGCATAAGTAACGTTAGTGGTAAAGCTTTGATTATATAAATGTATCTTTATGCAGTGGACACAGAAACTGATTAAAAGATTTCAATAAAATATACAATTCAACAATAAAAGGGGAAAAAAGCAAATTGTTTCTGATCACTTCATCAGTCATCCAGCGGGGGGAGACATACTCCACTAGACTTTAGGTGTCAGTCTAGTGTCGCAGTTTGTTCTGAAGGTCCTGAATGACACACACACACACACACACACACACACACACACACACACACACACACACACACACAGTATAGTATAGACACTGAGGATGTGGACAAGGTTGGAGGTAAAATGAGATTGAAGTCAGGTTACAGTTGAGGTTAGGTTATGGTCAGGTTGAGGTCACATTACATTTCATTTAGCTGACGTACAATAGGTGCATCAACCATGAGGGAACAAACCCAGAACAACAAGAATCAAGTTGAGGTTAAAGTAAGTCTCCAGGAAATCCTGTGTGTGTACGTGTGTGTACGTGTGCGTCTTTAAAACTTATTCCAGTAAGAACACTGAGGTCGTGGATAAGGTTAGAGGTCAAATGAGAACTGTGGTGAGGTTTAGGTTAGGGTTAGGCATTCATTGGTCATGTTTAAGGATAAGGTTTTGGTTAGGCCGTCCACAATGAATGGATGTCAAAGCAAAGTCCTAATAAGAATCTCTCTCTCTCTCTCTCTCTCTCTCTCTCACTCTTAAAGTTAAGTTCAGGTTAAGGTCAAGTTAGGGAAAGTGGTGACTATGGCCAAGTTTAAGTAAGTACCCAGAAAATGGTGTATGTGTGTGTACTATTTAGCCCCCTTTCAAATATAAACACTGTGTGTGTGCTTGCACGCCATGCAGACTATAAAACCATCAGTGTCAGCTGGGAGTGGTTGACAGGCTGAACCACCAATCACAGCACACATGTGAAGGTGTGTGTGTGTGTGTGTGTATGTGTGTGTGTGTGTGTGTGTGTGTGTGTGTGTGTGTCAGTCTGCAATGAGTCACTTCATCTCAGTGTGGCTCTGTGGGTCAGTGCGTGAACACAGCTCCTGTCAGAATCTGCTGGAAACTGCATTGAGAACAGGTACAATCGCGGTGCGTTTGTGCGTAAAATGAGGCGATAACGCAACAAGTGTCCACCTGCAGCAGCACGAGCAGCAGCAGCAGAGGAGAGGAGAGCAGAGGAGAGGAGAGGAGAGCAGAGGAGAGGAGAGGAGAGGAGAGCAGAGCAGAGGAGAGAAGAGCAGAGCAGAGGAGAGGAGAGCAGAGGAGAGGAGCGGGTCCTCGTGTTTGGTGCGCAGACAGTTGGATGGGTAAGGACGTGTGCGCCCTGGCGTCGCTCGGATGGGATGCACGGTGAGCTTCATCTGCTGTGAAGAGGACTTCCTGCCAATGCCTGCAGTCCAGCAGCATGAGGAGGAGAAGAAGAAAGAGAGCGCGAGGAAGGTAAGAAGTGGACTCAAGTGTCTGCGCACAAGTTTGGGCGTCTGAGCTCCACTTTACTGAGAGAGTGGCTGCAGCTTGATTTCATTTGCACATACTATACTCTAGATTTCTCTGTTGGAGATCTGTATGATCGAGATAAGCATCTACTTGACAAACGCATCAAAGTGTTCTCACTCTGGTTAGACTCCTCTGAATCCACAGCTGCACCATCAACAGCAAGAAGAAGCGACAGTAATGTTTCAGTCACTTCAAAAGAACACACCTTAATGGTGTTCATTCAAGGGTTCGTGCAGCAGCCTCACTCAGGGATAATGTGTGTCTAATTCCTGCTCTGACATCAGGTTAGAATGAGGTAAACCATTCACCCTAATGACTCTGCCAGGGGCAACTCCGAAAAGTCCAAGTTCAGTCATGCTTGACTCCATGACAAAAGGGATGAAAAGTAGTGATTGTTGCAGCAGTGATGTAATGGAAATTATTCCCTCTGCCTAATGTTGCTGGTGCTGAGGGTTTAGATGTGTGTTCACTGCAGCACTTGTTGAATATGATGTGGTTCTGCAGCCAGAAGCTCTGCTCTCTGGTGGAATGTGGTCACTGACCTGTGACCTGTGACCTGCACTCATTTCTTTCTCTGTCTGATCCAAACCTCACTTCTCCCTGCAGGCTAACAGAGGCTGGATTTACGTGAATGAACATAATAGGACACAACTTTGTATTTCATCAATCATCATCAATGACTTGTTTGCATTGATGATGCTCTGCAGTAACTTCAAAGTTAAAGTCTTTTCATTTAGTCTGGAGCTGCTCACTAAAACCACAGCTCTGTGGCGTGTTTGTATGACAAGCCTTTCAGTGCATCTCCAGTGCCCTTCTGCTGTGGTTTACCCAACTTTGTCTGTGTGGCATACTCCTGCAGCCTGATCCAATGAGATCAAGCTCTCCCTCACCAGCACCACCCATTGTCCTGTCCGTCGTCTTCATTAGAAATGATTTAAAACAGGAAGTTATTTAACACTTTTAATCCAGCACCGTTGAGATATTGAGATCCTGGATCTGAGATATACTTATCTTTTTTCAGGAGATTTGACCAAGTTTGTAGGTGTGGCAGAAACTAGATGTTTTAATTACTTATCCATTTCCTTTTTTATGCATTTCAAGTTGCCATTGAGTTTGATTTATTGCAAACTTCATGCAGTTGTAGTCATTGAGGTTTTACGACCTTAAGTTGGAGGTTGGCAACTGCAGAACTACCCTGAGGGGCATAAGCCCTGATTTAGATGACGCCATGTGTTATGCTGTGGATGAGCAGTCCTATACACACACACAGTATGTGCCTGCCACAGCACAGACATACTTCATATTAAACACTCGACTTCCTGTGCTACTTTTAGTGTGTGGTGGATGTCTTTCCCTGGATATGCTGATCTGCTCTGTAGCAAAGACAAACAGCTGGCACGGTGGCGTGCAGGGCTGTGGGCACATGGCGAGCTGTGGGAAATGAATGCTTAGCCTCTGCCAGTAGAGCTGTGGTTGAAATATTGATGTGGTGCTAAAGTGTCATCAGTCATGCTGGGTGTAAACAATCAGCAATCACTTTAGCAGGAGCTTGCAAAGTGGAGCTGTTTGTTCTGTAAGACGGAGTTTTAAGACGATGTGAATACAAAAATACAATATTTGCCACAAATGATATCCTTAAGACGCTGTGTGTACAATGGTTGCGTACATTGTTAAAGTTTAAAGCAGTTTTTTCTCATGCTGATGTTTGTGTTGGAGGTGTGCTCAGGTGCAGAGAAATAGCTTCCTGTGTTAATTGCTCGTTGTGCGTGTGTGATACTTGTGTGTGGTTTTTGTCCCAGATGAAGAGGACGGGTTGTCGGCTCCTGTCAGCAGCGCTCAGGGAGGCCCACGGCTCAGAACTTTGAAGAGTGATAACAATCGAGCAGAAAGGAAAACCCTCATGTAAAACCAAAGTACACAGGCTAGACTTTGAACCAGATGAGGGGGTCATGAATCGGCTGCAGAAAGAATGTGTGCAGTGTGCTTTGCGTCGAGTGGTTGTTGTATAATAGCAGTACGTGGGCTGACGGACAGCTGAGACGTGAACACAACATAAACATGTTTTCCAGAATGGTATTAAATCCTCCACAAACAAGAAGTTAATGTTTTTTTAAGGGTATATCTATTTTAGATAATGTTGAGATTCTATATCCATTTGTGCACTCAGTTATGTGTCGTTAGTTCAGACATCTCACTGAGAATTATTGCCAAATGATCATTTTTGGCTGTGTGCTGTTTATGGATTTGCTTCCTTCCTTCTGTACGACTGGCTCCCAAGAAGCTTGTGCTACCACATATAAAACAAATATGGAAAATCCAAACATTTAGCTCAGAAAAGCTGTTCCCATTGTCGCATGGTGAGCTGCTAATGTATAAACATGGCTGATAAAGAGAGGGAATCTAAAGACATGGTCGGATTGAGCACAGTCTGACTTTATCTACTTTATCTAGTATGTATACCAAGTGCATGTACGTGGAGTGACAACACAGGCTCAGATTTAAGAATCTACCAGAATGAAAGCTCTTTTTGTTTGTCTTCCTGTAGTTTCTTTGTCTTTGTAGATTCATGAAATCGACACAAAGAGGTATTTTACCTCAGTTAGTTAATTTAGATCTGCATCTATTTGTTGCTACTTGAGTCTCTGCATTGACTCTGTATGTTGCACTATTTTAAAATCCACACACCCTAGGAGCTCAGATATTTGGCAGACAGAGCCAGAGATAAATTAAGAGTGGAGTGGATCTTATGGACACAAGTGTGAAGTCCATGCACTTTTTTAGAAGGACTGTGTGATATGATGTTTCATACTATGCTCGGTTGTTTATTGCGTTGTGTCGTTTTTAACTTTTTTTTTGTTGGTGTTTGTGTTTTCACACGGCACGGATTCCCGGCAGGAAATTATCATGAAATCAGGGAATTTAAATGAACATGGAGGAGAGTAGAAAACCATACTTTGAAAATGATATATTACAAAATAAATGAAAACCAGACTGGAAGAGCCTCTTGAATAAAGATTGAAAAAAACAACACACATTAATCAAACTATTAAATATAAAAAAATAATCATATTTGTATATAGACCTTCCTTTTCTATGCAAGTGAGACTCAGTTATTGTTTCATGATAACAACGATGTAAATTGAAAGTACATTTTGTAATAACAAACTCCTTTTTGTTCCACGCTTTTATGCTACACATGATGCTAACTATACCCAGACAGATTTGTTTGTGAGCCTTCAATAGGCCAAATCTCGACATCAGTAAAACAGCTGACTGTGCCTTCTTAAGAAAATACTAATTTCAGTTTGATCCCTGTCAAGTCCAGCTCTCAATCTCCCCCGCTTTTGAAATTCCCACCAAAGTGTCAGCCGGCAGGCGGGGGCTTTCCTGGGTTTTGAAGATTTTCGATAAAGCTATGTGGTGAACTGAGAGTTACCTGCCGCCCCTTATTGCATTCCAGTGGATGTTGTAGCTGTGGGCAAACAGTGCGTCCTCTGTGCTGCGTCTCTGGGGAGGCCTATCGTTTCACTCCTACCTGCTGGCACTGTCCTGCACATGGGCCGCAGAACAAGACCCTCTCTGTGTGTTCCCCTGTGGAAAGGTGCCCAGTGTGTGCTTGACCCAGGAGAGGGCTGTGGTTCCTCGATGAAGTTAACCCCTGTCATCTTACCTTTTAATGCCAATGCACACAGGAATTTAACCTCTGACGGACACTTGAGCACATTATTTCAGAGTGGGAAGCTTCTTATAAACTCATTCTTCACATGACAGCGTGGCCAGAATGTTTAATCAGGTTTATCTTGATGTGGTAACTGTCTCCCATATTGTTCCCAGCTGGTTAAACAGCTATGAGCAGCAAACATCAGTCTGCTCTAGCCAACTTTTTAATGCCTTCCTGATACTTTGCATCATTCCAAAAAAACCTGGATTATACGAAGCTGTTACTCAATAAGAAACCTGTGCACAGCAGTGATACATCTACAAAGAAAGAATGTAAAAACTATTTTCTCTTTCAATGATCTGAGCTGTTTCTCTCCAGCATCTTCCTGTCAACCTCAGCTGCATGTGAGAATTGATATACATGCATATTATATGATATTCAGCTTTAACAACTATGGTAAATGGTCTGTATTTTTATTACAGCTTTTCTTGTCCTGATGACCACTCAAAGTGCTTTACTGTGAAGTTATTGCCATTTACCCATTCATACATACATACACTCCATCTATGTGCAGAACTTTCTCTATCGTACTCACTCACACACTGCTGGCACAGCCACCAGGGGCAATTTGGGGTTCAGCATCTTGCTCAACGGCACTCGGAAATGGGTTGACTGGGATTGGTTAGTGGAAAACCCACTCTACCACCTGAGCTGCAGCCGCCCAACCGCCCTGTGCAAATAGAAATAGTTCTTCTGACCATTACATTTACAAACATAAAGCACTAATTATGCACTAGAAAGTTATTTCAAATATAATCTAAAGATAATGACCTAAAACCATTCAATGTAAAAATGTCTGAAGTGTTAAAATGAATAAGAGATTTGTATAAAAATGAAGTGACATGTAAATTGCATCATTTTCTTACATCCAAATAGTCAAAATACTTCCCAGGAATGTAGATGTGTGTATTAAGTAGCTGAATTTAAGAAGAGCTTCCTCATTTTATAGTTGTTTTTGGTTGTGTAATAATTGGAACCAGTAATCTATGTTGGGAAGCACCTCCTTTGCTTTCAATGCCTCGTGGTCAAAGGATGTGTGAGTCTGATGAGCGGATATTTCTTTTTAAACAGCTTTTCAAGACATAACGGATGCAGTGATGCATAACTTTGGCCACAAAGCCAGATAGTGGAGTAAAAAAGGCGTTCATTGAGCTTCTTAAAGTGTCTTGAATTCACTTGGCAATGCAAAGGATAGAGTGTCAGTCAGAATGATAGATTAAGG